GGGGTAGAATTCATTCAGCATCTTGAAATGCACCTCTTTGGCTTTAGGAATTATGGGGAATGAGATGTATCTCTTATTTCACAAGCCATATGGCCTGAAAGACCATCAAATACATAGTTTCTTCTTGCAGGTGAAGGATAACATGTATTAAGAAGCTGAGCTCTGATAAAGGAGTTAGAACATTGCTCATCAACCACATTTATGTTGCTGATCTTTAAAGGACATAGTACCGGATTGACAGAAGAATACAGAATATCCTGTGACACCATCTGTTTAAGCTGGAAGGGAACAGCGTGAATAATCCTCTCGTATGTATTTCTTGGTGAAGACAAGATAAATTTCATAGATACTTCAGAGTAGGTCATTAAATTGCCTCTAACATCCATTAGATGAACAATAGACCAAATCCCCTTCTTCAGCCACTCTTACATAAATAGTGATCTTTTTTTTTTTCTTAAATAAAATACAGCGATTGTTCCAGATAGGCATATTGTGTGGAGAAAAGTTATGCTTGAACACCAGTTTCCAGTATTGAAGAACTTGTTGATGGAAGGCAGATAGACTCAAGGGCAACTTACTGAGTTCAAAATCACAACTTAAAAGAAATTTAATTCTCCCAACTTTTTTGAAAATCGCATTTGGAATTGCATACCAGATCGAATCTCTGTGCTTCATAAAGCCTTGCAGCCATTTTATTTTAATCATCCCATTCATGATATCAAAGTCAACAACTTTCAATCCCCCATCTTCATAGCTTTTCAGCATGTCATTTTTCCTAATATAATGGCATTTATTTCTTCTAATAAAGCTTAGGTTAACTTGGTCTATCATTTTTTTTCATTCTAGATGAAATAGCTAATGAGTATGCTGGATAAGCAAGCCTGGATAAACTTTGTCTTTGTACGTACAACGATTGGTCCCTCTGCAGCCAGCTGCTCAGTAGTGATTGACCTTTGTCAATACTTTTTCCAAAGTTGCACCTTTCCCTAAATTCCTCGCTTTTACCAATATTGAGTCCTAGATATTTAATTTCTTTTGTAACTGGGATACCATATAATGACGCTGAGGGATGACCATGTATCGCCACTAATTCACTTTCGTTAACATTTAAAGTTAACCCTGAAGCTTTGGAGAACAAAGCAATCAAGT